TGTGTCTGTGTGTCTGTGTGTGTGTTCGTGTGTGCGTGTGTGCGTGTGTGCGTGTGTGCGTGCGTGCGTGCATGCGTGCGTGTGTGCGTGCGTGTGCGTGTGCGTGTGCGTGTGCGTGTGCGTGTGCGTGTGCGTGTGCGTGTGCGTGTGCGTGTGCGTGTGTGTGTGGGTGTGCGTGTGCGTGTGTGTGTGTGTGTCTGTCTGTCTGTCTCTGTGTGTGTGTGTATGTGTGTTGGCCCAGCCCGCGGCCCCCGAAGAGCCCCGCACCAGAGGTCGCCCTTGCCCAGGGTCGCTCTGACGCGTAGCCGATCCACTGACGGGCCCCGAGAGTCTATAGGTGCGCTCGGCGGCGCGCAGCGGGAGGCGGCGCGCAGAGGGGAGTCGGCCCTCCCAGCAGCCGAAGAAGAAGTGGAAGGGCGAAACATACAGTCGGGGCCCTGAAGAAGGAACCCTTTTGGTTGGGGAGGGGCTCCGCGTTCCTTAAGTGTTTCACAGCTCGCCTCAGGTGTTCCTTATGTTTTTGATCGGAAATCGAAGTTTAACTTATGGAAAAAAGGGGCCTCGTTCCTTATTTAGAGTTCCTTAGGTCAACGCCCCGACTGTAAGGCACCCGCGGGGGCGCTGAGGCAGCAGCGCTCCGCGCGCCGCGGCCTGGGCCCGCGCGAAGCGAGCGGAGTTCTCGGGTCGGCGACGGTCCTCCCCGGTGGGCGGCGACTCCAGCGCCGCCCCTGGCGCGCTCTGCGCGCGGGGGGGAGGGGCTTGGCATCGCTCGGATGTGTGCATTTTTCCTTCGGCGAGGACCATCGAGGAGCATCCTTGATCAGTTCGCGAAAAAGCCACGCACGAAACCGAAAAAACACAGGGAATGGACGTCCGAGCGACGGCACGGGAGAGCCCGACGCCGATCCCAGCAGTCCGCGGGGGCCTCCGAAGGCCTGTGTCCGTGATCTGTGGGCCCGCCGGAGAGGCACCCCGCTGTTTTCATCCAGCCTTTGAAGGAGAGCTTTCGCGCCTTCTCGGTGAAGCCTCCAAGAGGATACAGATCCCTTGCGAGAGCCCCCCTGTCGTCTGAGCAGGGCTCGTGGGCGGGAAGCACATACATGCAGCGGGAACCGGGCCCGGGGGCCCCAGGGCAGGAACCCCTACCGCAAACGGGTGGACCAGGGGTCCCCCCAAATCGACGCCGAGGGCACTCAGACAGCTGTCAAGACACTCGCGGTGGCTTCGAGTCGTCCCAAAACGGCCTCCAAATGTTTCAGACTGCTCACGCGGCGCCTCCAGCGCTCCAAGACTCCCCGAGAGGCCCTCTAAGACGGCCCCGGGAGGCCCAATCATGAATTTCCCTCGGGTGTTTGAAGGTTTTTAAGGTTCTCGCCTTTTCGGGCTTCCGACGGCCCAAGACGGCTCAGGAGGCGCCACATTTCGCCCAAGAGGGCCCAAGATGCCTCCAAGGAAGCCCCAAGAACGCCAAAAAGAACTCCAAGATAGCCCAAGAGAGCCCCAAGACGGCCCAAGAAAGCTCCAAGACGGTTCGGGAGAGCCCCACGGGAGCCCGAAGAGAGCCCCAAGAGCACCTCAAGAGATCCCCGACAGAGCTCGAAGACGGCCACAGCCTTCTCAGACGGCCCAGAAGGGCCCCAGGACGGCCCAAGAGAGTTTCAAGAGCACCCCCAAGAGGCCCCGAAGAGGCCCAAAGGTTTTCGCCTTGAGCCCCATCTCTCCGCGGCAATCTCCGAGCCGCGCCGATCCGTCCGGGCCCCTGGGCCCCACACGATAGCCCAGAGCGCCCGGTGCGAAGAAGCTGCGGCGCCAGGATCTCACCTGGGCCTCCCAGATGGGGTCGGGGCAGACTGGGTCGGAGATCGCGCCGCGATCGCCGATGCATCGGCGACGCGGCGCGATCCTCCGACCCCAACTGCTCCGACCCCATCCGGGAGGCCTCCTGTCTCAGGGCCCGAGCTGCTGCACCCGTGTGCGCGCCGCCCCCCGCAATTCACACTGGGCAGCCAATGGGGCCCAGGTTTTCCGCAGCCCCCGCGAGCGGCCCGCCCGCGACGGCGCCCCCCTCGGGGCTCTGAGCCGCGCCCCGCGGGCGCGCCTCGGCGGGGGCGTCGGCCGGCCTCCTTGCGACGCGTGCGCCCAGCGAGACTGCAGGACGGCGGGCGCGAGAGCGCCCGCGGTCCCGACGGCGAAAAAAGCGGGGCGGCCCCGGCGGAGCGCCTGCCCGGGCTCGGGAGCCGCCCAGACATGAGCGCGTCGTGAAGCAATCGCAACAGAGGCTCTTCGCACTTTGGGGCTCTGGAGGCCCTCGCTGGGCCCCGGGACCGTCCAGGGAAGGCTCGGGATGAGAAAAAACGGTCCCGGGGAAAGGGTCGGGACTTCAGGGGACCGCGCATGGAAAGAAATCAAGACGTCGCATGTCTGGGCCTGAGACGGGGGTCAGTGCAAACGGGGGTCAGCCAGAGCGCCCGCCCGATCCTGCAGGATCTTGCAGAGCCAGGCGTGCTCCGACCCGGGGGGCTAGCGTCAAGTCGGGCGTGTCCCCCTACAGGGGGATTTTCGACGAAAAATAAAAAATACCCCAAACATAGTCCAAAAATAGTCTGGGGACTATTGTTTGAATATTTTTGTTGGCTTTTTGGGGTGTGTTTGGGGTATTTTTTATTTTTCGTCGAAAATCCCCTTGTAGGGGGACACGCCCGACATGAGGCTAGCGTGCAGGGTCCTACAAGCTCCTGCAGCTGCAAAGTAAAGCGTCTGTGCGGCTCGAGGTGGGTCCCTGTTTTCTCCACACTGACTCGCAGATGCGTCGCCGACATCGCCGATGCATCCACGATGCATCGACGATACTGCGCGGTTCTCCGACCCTGTCTACTCCGACTCCATCTTGGGGAGTCTTCTACCAACCCTTGCACCAAGACCTTTCTGGGTATGGTCGAGTTTTTCCTGACAGGGCTAGAAGTCTAGAGGTGTATGTTCTGGAATTCTGGGAAGTCAGGGTTCGGAGGGGGATGTGCTCGGGGGGGCTCGAACCTGTTCGGGAGCAGTCGAAAGCGCTCCATCCAGCTGCGCCCCGAGAGCGTTCCGGGGGGGTGCCGGAGTCGTGCCGAACGGCCGCCGGAGGACCAAGTGATGGCCGGACATTGGGCGCTGCGTAATGGGGGGGGTCATAAATGGGGGGGTGGCGAGGGTGGTCCGAAAAGGTACCCAAACGGTACCCAAACGAGCCCCCTGGGGCTCTGGAGGGGCCCGAAAGGGGCACGAAAGGGGACCGTTTCTGACCCCCCCATTTGTGACCCCCCCATTAAGCCACGCCCAAGGACAGCCAGGGAGCAGGAGGTCTGGGGCAACAAGGATAGGGGGGGGAGGGGCAGGGGGGGCAACGCATCGACCCCCAGTCGCCCAACTGGGGCCTGGTTTACCAGCCTCGAACGTATCCCTATCCCTAAGGTTGACACGCCAAAAGGCGATGACAATCTTAGGGATTCGCCTTCAAAAAATAAGGGAATCCCTAAGATTGGCATCGTGATGAGGAGGTGCCCAGCATTAGGATAGGGATATGTTCCAGGCTGGTAACTCATACAGTCAACCCACATAGTAAGCATGGGCAGCCTTCCCAAGGGTACCCCTGCATCCTTGCCTCCTCGGTCCATGCTTCGCCACTCTCGTTGGCCGTGCCCCGCTCGAGCAGCTTCGGCATGGGCGTCCGAAGGTCCCTGCACCCGCATCGTGCGCCCTTCTGACACGGGCCGACCAGAGCCCACCCCCGCGCAGGAACGGGCGGTGATCCCGCGGTCGGCGGCGTGCCGCCGATAGCTGTCGGCGAGGTGCTGCCGGTGGCAGGTCGGCATGCTTCCCCCCCACCCCACCCCCCGGAGAGCCGGTCCCCCGCCCCATCTCGCGCCCCCGCGGAGTCGCGGGGGGGAGCCAGGCCTCCCGGCGTCGCGGGCAGAAGGGCACAGCGGTTGCCAGAGAGTGCGGCAGCAAAGCGTGGGAGCCGGGCACGTCTTCGCAGTTCTGTCTTCAGGGTGCTCGGGCGTCGATGTGGCGTCGATGTGGCGTCGATTAGCGTCGGCTAGCCTCGATGAGCCTCGATGAGCAAGCAAGATGGTACGGGAGGCTCCCGTGAGTGGCCACCGGAAGAAAGGGATGGTGGGGGGAGAGCCTTCCGCGGTGTTGGGCCTCGGGCGGCCATGACGGTCGGGCGTCGGGCCCCGGGGGCTCTCAGGACGCCGCGTGCGACGGACCACCTGCCCCGAGGACAGGTCGGGTCGGACGAGAGGGATCGAGTGGGGGATCGAGTACAGAATCGGTTGACCTCAGACTTGATTTTCCTGCCGCATGTGCGAAAGGCACGCAGACTGTCCCGCCGACGTGCCAAACATCGTTCGGAGATTCGGCGGGGAAATCAATGTTGGGTCAAGTGCGGCCTGTCCCTCTACAGGAGGAATGTTCAAGAATAGTCGAAACATAGTCTGGGGACGACTGTTCGACTGTTCTTGACTATGTTTGAGCATCTCTTGACTATTTTCGGCCGGTGCCGACGGTTTCGTCGGCCCCCTTGCCACCGCGCATCCTTGTGATACGGGTTGACTGCAGCTCTGGTTCTGCAGCGGGAGCGAGGGCATGCGAGAACGGCAGGCTCGTGCCGCCTCGCTGCGGCGGCGGCGCCAGCGCGGGCGTTGAGAGCAGCTCCTATGGGGGGGGGCTCCTGCGGGCCTCGGAGCCCGCAGAAAACAACCGTTCCTTGCACAGCCTGTCTGTGTAACACTCTTACACGCTGGTCGTTGTCTTATTCACTGTTTTGCCGATCGGGCCCTCGTAACCCCCTCCCCCCCATGGAGTAGATCTTGGCTGCTTTGGGCGCCTGTTTCGAGCAGGTGGAGTCTCCCCGGTAGGACGCACTGCTGCAAGCAGTCGCATTCAGCAGAGGTCCAGAGCCCTCCCCCCCCCCTCTCCCCCCCTTTCCGTCCCATGTCGAAGCGCCGAATCAGGAAGCGTTGATGGACTGTCTCTGAGAAGCCGAGTACGAGGCAACCCGGGTCTGGAATCGGGCAGGCTCCCGTGCTCTCCCGTGCTCTCCCGGGGTCCCGCGTGGTCTTTCCCGTGGTCTCTCCCGTGGTCTCTCCCGTGCTCTCCCGCGTGGTCTCTCCCGTGGTCTCTCCCGCGTGGTCTCCCCCGTGGTCTCCCCCGTGCTCTCCCGGGGGCCCCGCGTGGTCTCTCCCGTGGTCTCTCCCGTGGTCTCTCCCGTGCTCTCCCGCGTGGTCTCCCGCGTGGTCTCTCCCCCGTGGTCTCTCCCGCGTGGTCTCTCCCCCGTGCTCTCCCGGGGGCCCCGCGTGGTCTCTCCCCGTGGTCTCTCCCGCGTGGTCTCTCCCCGCGTGGTCTCTCCCCCCGGGGTCTCCTTGGGCGGCGGTCTCCGCCTGCGCCCCCCTTCGCCGCCACGCTGTTACCCAAAGGGCTCCAACAAGAGAACAAGCCCTGCCTGCACTGGCCAAGGTCTTGGCGCGTCGGCTCGCCTAGTGCGGGTTGGCCTTCCGGTGCTTCCAAGCTTGCCTGGTGCAGGTGGTCGGGCACCAGTGGCATGTTCGCAGGGGGAAAAAGAAGAACCCAAAAAAAAAAAAAAACGCCCCGAGGCGCTGTGCGCCGAACCTCCTGTGGGCTGACGGGGTAGACGCTGCGTTTCGCGCGTGTCGCGCGGCGTCCTAGCGGCCCTCTGGCCTTTTGGAAGCTCCCAGGCCAGGAGGTTCAGAGACCACGCACTTGTAACCCAGGGTAGGGTCGTTCTGTCATCCCTCAATGTTGAGCTTAAATTGGGCATGTCCCTCTACAGGAGGAATTTTCGAGACTGGTTTGACAAAGAGTCTCGGGACGATGTTTCGTGCTCTTCTGACTGTGTTTGAAGATGGTTTGACGATGTTTCATCTGTCTATCAAAATCCGCCTGCAGGAGGACATGCCCGACCTAGTGTTAAGCTGTGTTAGGGCATTCTGCCGCAAGGGTGCTCGGCGGCGAGCCCAGGGGGGAGGTGGGAGGAAGCGGTCCTTCCCAAAAGGCGGCGGGGTTTCTCGAGCGTCCTCGAGCCTTCTGTGAAGCGCTGCAGGCCTTCTCCGAAGCCACAGAGGCGGCTTCTCAGAAGCCTGGCGGGCTTCTGAGAATTCTGAGAAGGCCCGCACCCTCTTGCTTCCCCCCTGCACTCGCCGCCGAGCAATGAATAAGAAGGTAACGATTGCACGATAGCCTCTGGCAGCTTACTGGGTCTCTCGGCTACTCCCCAGGTTTGCGAGAGGCGGGCAAAAGATCGAGCCGGTCGAGAGTCTCAGACCTCCCGCTGCCAGAGCGCTCCTTTGCTCGGAACCACGGATCGTAATTGCGGGGTCCCCCAAGGGAGGCAGTCGTCAGCATCGCCCAACTTATACCCATCCACTGGGCCTCCGCGAAATTTGAAGGAAAAAGCATGTGTCCCGACCTAGGTGGGTAAGTCGGCCAATGGGGCTAAGGCCACCGCAGTGGGGATAGGGATCGTTTAAGCGATGTTCAAGTAGAGGAGGAGGAGGAGGAGGAGGAGGAGGAGGAGGAGGAGGAGGAGGAGCAGGAGGAGGAGGAGGAGGAGATGGAGGCGGGAGGGGAACGAAGAAGGAGTAGGAGGACCACGCCGACGAAGGAGCAGGAGGAGGAGGAGGAGGAAGAAGAAGAAAACGGCGACGACACCAATCGACGACGACGACGACGACGACGACGACACTAAACGACGACGACGACGACACCAAACGACGACACCAATCGACGACGGCACCAACCGACGACGATACCAAACAACGGCCACGACGACGACGACGAAGACGACGACGACGACGACGACGACACCAAATGTTGACGACACCAAACGACGACGACATCAAACGACGACGACACCAAACGACGGCGGCGGCGATGACGACGACGAGGTCGACCGAGCAGGCCTGGCCGCCGGTGGGCCGCGCGCGCGCGGCCGACGCGCCCGCACAAGGCCTCACCGACCTCGACGTGTCGGGCAACCTGGCGCTGGCGGAGGAGCCGTGCAGCCGGGCGCTCGGCCGAGGCCGACCCCCCCCTCCGCCGCGATGGAGGGTCGCAGGCACCGGACCTGCTCGCGCATGCGCCGCGAGAAAAATATTGGGGGGAATTTGGGCTCAGCGTGCGTCGCGCCGCCATGGAACACCTGGTGGGTACAGCATTTTGCTGCTGGCAGTCCTCGGGCTCCGGTACTGGTTCTGGTTGCTCTTCACCGCTGCTGCGCCCTGGCAGCGCCGGAGAAGAGCTGCTGGGGCTGCGCCTTGCTGCTGGGGCTGCGCCCGGCTGCTGCCGCGACCCCAGGACAGCCCCGAGACAGCCAAAATAAGGTCCTTGAGGATTCGCCGAAAGGTGAAGGCGAAAGGTGTCACATGTGACGGCTCTCCTCCGCCTCCTCCTCCTCCGCCTCCTCCTTCTCCTTTTCCTCCTCCTTCTCCTCCTCCTTCTCCTCCTTCTCCTCATCCTCTTCCTCGTCCTCCTCCTCCTCATCATCAGCACCGCCATCAATATCATCATCGGCACCATCATTAGCATCATCATCACCACCGCCATCAGCATCATGATCATCATCAGCATCACCATCACCATCACCATCACCATCATCATCATCATCATCATCATCATCATCAGCATCATCATCATCATCATCATCATCATCATCATCATCATCATCATCGACATCACCGCCATCATCACCACCACCACCATCATCACCATCATCCTCATCATCAGCATCATCACCATTTTCTCCATCCTCCTCATCATCAGCAGCATTATCATTAACATCATCATCATCCTCATCATCATCATCCTCATCATCATAATCATCATCAACATTATCGTCGTCGTCACCATCAGCATCATCGTAATCCTCGTCATCGTCATCATCGTCATCATCATCAGCAGCCGCATCATCATCTAATCGAGCCGCAAGAAGTTCTATACAGGCCGCAAGAAGCTCCCCAGAGTCCCCAAAAAGCTTTTCAGACACCTCCAGGAGCTCTTCAGCCCCCCAAGAAGATCTTCAGATACCGTAAGAGGCTCATCACCGTACATCTTTGATCAGCTACGAGGGGGAGGATCTGGGCCTCTTCCTGCAGGCCAGCCCCCCACGGAAAAAATCTTCAGACGCCTTGGGAGGCACGCCGTACGCTTCCTATCGGCTATGAGGGGGGAGGAGTCTGGGCCTCTTCCTGGAGGCTACCCTGCCCCCCTTTCTGCCGCACTCGAGGACTGATATGGTCCAGAGCACCCCCCCTACAAACACCCACCGGGCCACACAAGCACCTCCTCTCCTGGGCCAGCGCCCACCCCCCCCCTGCCGCTCCCCACTCGGACCCTGCCAGCCCCCCCCTCGGGGGCAGCGATAGGGTGGGGTTTAGGCCATCGCCCGTACGTCGCCGCGAGGGGCCTGACTGCCCACTCCTCCCAGGCACGCGCGGATTCGCTATCGGGGGCACGCTCCCAGGAAAGTGCAGATTGGCTATCGGGGGCATATCGCCGATCCATCGGCGATGTATCGCCGATTCCAGCTCGATGGTTCCCCCCCTGAGCTGGTCTCCCCCCGATAATTGCCCCCGACCTCTCGACCGCATCCTTCCCCAGGACCGGTCTTTCACCCCGAGTCGTTTTATGACGGTCCCGAGGCCTGGTCTGGGCCCCGAGGGGCCGAAAATTATGAAAAAAATCCGTTTCGATTTTTTCTCGAGGCGCCACATGTTTGGGTCCCCCCACCCCCCTAGCGGCTGCGGGCGCGGCTGGCGTCCTGAGTTGCCCCCCCCCCTCGTCCCCAGACCCCCCCGACGTCCTGATTTTTTCATGGCGTCGACCCCCAGAAGTTTCGACCTATGCCCCGGGACGGGTTTTTCATCCTAAGTCGTTTCTCGACGGTCCCGAGGCCCAGCAACGGCTCCCAGAGGCCGAAGATTGAAGACTTTCCAATCGTGATTCGTTCCTTTGCTCGTCGGGGTCTGGGTTGCCCCCCCCCCCCCCGCGGCCGCTCCAGGCCTGCTCCCAGCCCTGGAGGAGGCGCGGCCGACCCCCTCCACGCGCCGCCGCCGCCGGGCCGGCCAGGCAGTGGCAGGGAGCACCTGCAGGGACGGCCCCAGACAACGGGCGTCTCGGAAAATCGAGGCGGAGTTGTGTTGTGTTTCTTCTGACTAGTTTTCGGCTCCTCGGGGCCCTCGCCGAGCCTCGGGACCGTCGAAAGAATTCACGCACCCAGGATGAACAACCGGTCACGGGGGAGCCCTGACTCCGGATCCGCCCTACTTTGGGGAAATTCGTAAGTAGGGCTTGGAAATTCCGCCTTATTTTTCAAGCCCCGCTGATGCAAATTTCCGCCCTAGTTTTTCTGCTGTTGTTTCCGCCCTACTACTCCTGTGGATTTTCGCCCTATTTTATGTTGGGTGCAGCAATTTCCGCCCTACCTTTTCGGCTCCTTATAGGTTGATTTCCGACGCAATTTTAAGTTGGAAAAAAATCCAAAGTAGGGCGGATCTGGAGTCAGGGAGGAGTCGAGAGGTCGGGGGCCTGCGCCTCGGAAAGATCGAGGCGCCGCCCGTCGGGGCGTGAGAAGGGCACCGCGGGCGGGAGGGCGAAGTGCGGAGGAGGGCGAGTCGAGCCATCGGCGGCCCTCCCCGGCATGTTTCGTTCCTGCTGGCCTCCCACTTCTCCTCCTCCTCCTCCTCCTCCTCCTCCTCCTCCTCGTCCTCCTCCTCCTCCTCCTCCTCCTCCTCCTCCTCCTCCTCCACCTCCTCCTCCCTCCTCCTCCCTCCTCCCTCCTCCCTCCTCCCTCATCCTCCCTGGCCTCCCAGCGCCACGGCTGGATCCGCTTGGAAAAGCCGGTCAGGGTGGACCCCGGGAGGCGTCCGGGGACCGGCATCGAGCGGACTGGGGGACGGGAGGAAGTATCGTGGTGTATTGCAGCATTGTTGATGCATCTTCGGTTCACACTGGTCCTCCTCTTCCTGATCCTCCTCCTCCTCCTCCTCCTCTTCCTGATCCTCCTCCTCCTCCTCCTCCTGCTCCTCCTCTCCTCCTCCTCTCCTCCTCCTTCTCCTCCTCCTCCTCCTCCTCCTCCTCCTCCTCCTCCTCCCCTCCTCCTCCTCCTCCTCCTCCTCCTCCTCCTCCTCCTCCTCCTCCTCCTATGTAATCGCACAGCTCCCCTACCTGATTGCGCAGAACATGATGTGGTCACGGGGGGCTCCAGATCCGCCACGACACCCGTCGGCGGTCAAAAAAAAGTCAGCGCCACGGGAAGGGATGGGTGAAAAGAGTATGATGTCAGATGCGGCGCGAGAGCACCGAGCTTGTCCCATTTACTCCCTGGAGGCCCCCTCCCGGAGGTCTCGAGGTCGCGAGGTTCCCCTCGTCCCCTCTCGTCCCTTATCTCTTCGTGACTGTGCCTGGGGGAGCAGGCCCGTCGTCTCTGCAGCCCGTTTGGGTTCCATGACGTCTCTGTCGCGCTCAGGCGGAAAAGTTCTTCGCTCGCCCATCATGATCCCTTCGTTCCCGTGACCCCGACAGCTTGGGACAAGCTTGCCTCTCTCCCCTGCCCCGTCTTCCCAAGTGACCCTGGGCGCAGTACGTCTTTCTTTCTCTTCACCGGGCCATGGCATTTGTTGAGAGCATATGGGCTCCCAAGACCCCAAAAAATTGAGGGACAAGCGTTTGGAACAGAGGTGTGAATTCCCTGCACGCGTTAGCAAACTTGTTCGGGTTCCCTGTGCGCGCGCGTGTGTGAGTGTGCGTTGGCAAAGTCGTTGGGGGTCCCACTATGTGTTGGCAAAGTTGTTGGGATTCATTGTATGGATTGACAAAGTCGCTGGGGTTCCCTGTAAGCGTTGCTTCAGAAGTTGGGCCACTGTTGGGTTTCCATGTATCCGTTGGCAAATTTGTCGGGGTGTCCTGTATGGTTGTGCGTACTGTTGCAGAACATGTTGGCTTGAATCTGGGAGTTGGATTAAAAGGTGGCCAGAACGCTGTGCGCGCTGATTGCATTGCCGGAAGAGTTGGACCATTGCTGTTGGTTGTTGAACGCATGTGGGAACTAATTGGCATAGCAATGTCGAGCTATTTGTCGGCTGGGTTCGGGGCGCATCGTTACGATTGTCCTTTTGGGGTTCTTGAAACAGCGCGGGCTTCTTTCACAACCGCGAACAAAACGCACTCGTGGAGTCTTGGGCTCCGCGATGAGGAAGCCCAGCCTGTTTGGCTGGTTTTCTTCCAATACTGTTGATCTGCGCCTGCCAGGGCTCGCGCGGCCGCGCCGTTTTTTTGTGTTTGTTGTTGGTTTCATGCTGCGGCGCTTGCCCTGCTGTAGCGGCGCTCGGCAATGTTTGTATTTTCCATAAAAACAACGCTCACAACCCCTCCCCTCCCCAGTGTCTGCCCCAGTCCGCAGGGTGGGACCCGCGTGGCCATCATGGTTGAGGCGGCGATCTCGCGAAAGAAAAAAACGCCCAAGCCCCCTCCCTGCACCTCGTCCTTCTTCCTCGGCCTCGGATTCGGACTCCTCGTTCCACTCGTTCCCCCCACCCATCCTCGTCATCGTCATCCCTTGTTTTTCTTCATTCACTTCGTCGTCATTGCCGTCCTACTCCTGGCTCGTGGTTTGGAGGTCCTCCTTATCGGCCATCCTCTGGCCCCTCATCCTCCCCCTCCCCTTTCTCCGCCTGCTCCCCCTGCTGCCGCTGCACTGCATTGGATACCGAGGCCGCACTACCCTTCACAGTCCACTCGTGCACAAGAGAAGGTGAAACGAGAAGACTAGGGAGGATTGTAAGTAGAGAGGACCGAAACGTCCCCCCCAAGCGAAAAACATCTCCCCAACGACGAGAAGCGATCTGCGGTCGCCGCCAAGATCGTGAGGCCGCCGGGCCGTCGCGACCCGACGTCTCGCCGCGCTCCCTCACCCGGAAGGTCGCGCAGGGCCTCCAGCTCCGCCGCATTCCAGGGCGTCGGCAGACGCACTCTCTGCGGTCGGGTGGGGAACGGAACAACACTTTTTACATCGCAGCGCGGCAGCGGCAATCCGCTCGCGCGAGTAGCTACAGAGTCGCGAATTGACCCGCATGCAAGAGGTGAGGAAGGGGGAAAGAGAGCGGCCGCAGAGAGGGGGCCGGAGCGCGGGGGCACGCACGCAGCGAGGCCGCGAGGAGCACGCGGGGGCGGCCAGGCTGAAGGGCAGCCCCTGGCAGCAATCGCGGGGCGGCAAGACGATGCGCTCGAGAGGAGCAACACATGCAACACCATTCAACGCACACACGCACACATGAATGAGTGAGGCTCGGAAGAAAAAACGTGTTGTCACGCTTCACAATGTCAAGTGTTCGTTCCCTCTCTCTCTCTCTCTCCTTCTCTCTCCCTCTCTCTCCCTCTCCCTCCCTAGCTCTGTTTTGAAGCCAGGGGAAACCAAAGAGCCGGGCCCACGAAGCAACTTGTATTTGGTGCCAGGGTCCAGCTCATAGCAGGGTTCCAGGAATCAAGTCGTGTAGCTTGGCAATCGACCCCGCAAACTTCTCCCGAACGTATCTGATCAAAGTATAAGTTGATATGGTCTTTGAGAACAACAACCATCACATTGTGAGGCTCATCGGGACACCCTACTTCTGGGGATGTATTTGCTAAGATATTGAACGCAAATCTCCATTACATATACCGGATGAGGCAGGGAGCCGAAGGGATGATATGTATAGTAGGTGTCTTTTCGCCACACGCAGGCGCCTCCACGCCATCACACTTCGGATCATCATGATGTGTCTCGATTGATCCAAGAAGCACGGTTCCAATGAGCGGAAGTAAGCAAAGTCTGATCGGCGCCCTTGCGCTCTCCATGCGCGGGCCGTCTCTCGGTTTTCGCTACGCATTCTTAAAGATTTCTGCGTGGGGTATTTGCTGAAAATGATGCTGCAGAGTCGGAAAGCATCTCTTCGATCCGTGTCGCAAATATTATTGTCTAGCTAATGTGTGTAAAAAGTCTTGACCGCACGATTGACCATCTGCGTTGGCGCCCGCAACGTTGAAAAAAGGAATTCGCAACGGTACGATGATGATTCCGCTCCGAAGTCGATGCACGGAAAGAGGCGCGTGGCTTTCTGGATACTAAAGCATGTTGGATTGGCTACACTTGATATTTTACATAAATTACGCAGCTCGGTGTACCATTGTTCAAGTCGTTGCTGCTCTGCATGTTCATGAAACGCCGCACGAGCAAGGGGCGCGCATAAAATCATCAAACTCTTAATATCACTCGCGATCGAGATCCACCATTTTGCATCACCTACGGGTCCCAGGGCCTCTGGAACCTTCACGAGCCTTTGCATCCATTTGAGGTCCTAGAATATACTGCCGGCCCACGTTCCCTGGAGGTCCACAAGAAAATCCAGCATCCATCCCAACGTGTTGGGCGCATGACAGAGGAATGTGTGCAAGTACCGTAGCGAGCTTATGCGAATTATATCATATACAACACAGGCAGAACATCAGCAATCTCATACATCAGCGTTACACGAGTTTCGTCATGAGTTGGAATGTCATCATCTTGCGTTGGCAGGGCAAGATCCCGCCCGGTGGGATTCTAAAATCGTTTAGTATATTCCTATATATTTTACAAGGCGGGGGACCCCGGAAAAGCGGCACACGGTGCCCCCCCCAAAAAAAACGAATTTCGGTTTCCCCGAGCCTTTGGGGCGCTCCTGCAGTGTGCTTCGTGTCTGTCCTGCGAGTGCACAAAAAAAAAAAAAACGACGGCCAAAGAGGGCCCCGAGACACCCAAAGATCGGCCCAAGACGCCCAATCTGGGCCCAAGACTGCCCAAGACGCGTCCAAGACGCCCCCAGAGACCCCCAAGAGGCCTCCCAAGAAAGCCCCGAGAGGCTACAATTGTTGATTTTCCTGTGTGTTTTCCGATGTTTTTGGCCTTCTCGCTTTTCCCGCTTCCCGACGGTCCACAATGGCCCAAGAGGCTCCCTAGATCGCCCCAATACTGCCAAAGAGGCCCCCAAAAAGGCCCCAACACGGTCCAG